TAAAAATAATGAAGTTAACAAGGTTTCAAGAAATTAGTACGCCACAAAGCTGTACAACGTTACAGAGGACAAATATGGAACTGCATAACTGCTGAATAAACACATCATTACTGCAGACGAACAATATTCAGTTTTGTTTATGCTTTATTACTACGTAACATGGCACATTTTAGATGGGTGAGAACAGGAAAAAAAAATAATATTAGCAGTAATAAACGACGAAACATAATAACAAGCATGAAAAAAAAAAAGAAAAGAAACATGAGATAAACAAAAAAAATTTGTAATAAATAAAAAAAGAAAAAAAAAAAGCTGTCAAATGCAAAATGACAGTTCTTTTCGTTTTGCACCGTTGTTCAACACTTCAAAGGGTTATCAAATGCATGACAACAACCACTGGTAGCATGCACACAGCAAAACACCTGAATTACATTAGCAACACACCTAAACTGATGATAACACAAACAGCTGCAGCAAACAGCAAACAGCAAACAGCAGCACCATTTTACTGCATCGTATCGCCTCCATTTGACATCACTCCAAATTTATGGTGCACGACTCTATGCATATTTCTATAGTTTTATTTGTAATTTGGCATGAAGACATTCAGTTTTATAACAGCTATGCTCCTTCAAATGATACACAGCAGGCAACTGCAACTTTGTTCATCATTTTACTGGCTGCCATTTCCGTACGATAACATCAAAAAGCACCTTCATTCAAATGTCTTCCCTTTTGTTACACTATTCAACTCCTATCACCTTCTTCTATTTAGCGTATCTGTCCTTTCGGATTATCAGTTGGCTGCGATCACCTTAAATGTCATTGGACAAACCAAACAATTTTTGTTTTCTGTCCATCTAGTGGATTTCACGGCAGTCCAAAAATTTGACAACATCTAATCAAGTAATCAATCAACCTTTATGAATTTTAAATATACCTACAAACAGCTGTAAATTCAAAACACAATCTGCATATTTTATTCCTGCTTTGAGCAGAAAAAAAAAAAGGTCCACTGCAAAAAATCATGAATCAACTAGCCGCTCAGACTTTAAAAAACAGTCTTACTGCAAAACTGTTATTTGATAATATTATACTCGGACGCATTGCTAAAGCAAAACTCAGACATCTTTGCAACTCAATTACACTTCGACCAAAAGAATACTAATTTCCTCGCCAATATCTTCTCCAAACTTTATTTTATATTTACTGCTTAGTCGCACTTATCCAAACTCACTTGTCATAGTTTTGGCAAAAGATCTTAGCACGCTAAAGCGCATCCGTTTTCATCAATACAGTTCTGCAGAATGGCTGCAAATTGCTACCATACAAAGGTTCCCCTTACTCATAACTCAGCTGCCATCTTCTTTTAGTGAGCCCTAACAATACCAGTATGGAGGTAATTATGCTGCTTTAAATTTGTAAAGAGAGTTATTCATCCACAGCTTACGACCGACCACAAAAAGTCTTTGAAAAAGTCGTTGTTCAGACCACTTAAAAAAGTCGTTGTTCAGACCACAAAAACCATTTTTAAACTAAATTAACCAAAGGTTACTACACGGAAAACAGACTATAGAAGAATTCCTAACTGGATTTTTGCTTTACATTCCTGCTTGCTATAAGGAAAAGAGCTCTTGGTGCTAGACGACCACTGTGTGTGTTTGTGTGTGTGGTTTCACCTTCAAGTACAGCAGAAGAACTCGCTTTAGAGGAGAAAGCAGGCAAAATATCAAAAGTAACTAAACTCCAAAACCCATAAATAAATTCAAGAAATTATAAAAAATGATCTCCAAAATATGACAATGAGCTGCCAGCCGACCAAAAGCATTGAGAATTGTGCAACTGCTTAACATCTAGCGGAGCACCGAAAACCCACAAAAAGAATAAGCATTTAATTATGCTATTCCAAAGGTGGCTCAAACTAAAAATTTTATCTGGGGAGAAAAACTGGGAAAAAGAACCCGGTTCTGAGGTGGAATACTGATCTGCAACAATACCATACAATTTTATCTACACACCAAAACCTTCCTGACTTAAAGTGTCAATAAAAATAAAGCTACGAACAAGCGGCTATCACAAAGCATCCTTGCACTTGATCTAGTGCACAGCGGCAAAAAAGCGACAACGATCTGGAGACAAAAACTGCAACAAACTTGTTGACAAAAAACTCAGCCAAGTACAACCACCAACAGACTGCAACACCCCAGAAAGTAACACTAACTAACAGAGCATTTGTTCAACTACTCATTTCCTTCCTAGTTTAGCGTCGGAAATCCAATACTGAACAGCGAGACCACCGCCTCACTGAAATTCACAAAATAGATGACCAAGTCAAATCTTGAACATGGCCACTTTTGGGATTACAAATCTGCCTATTTCATCACAAACCGCTCCCGTCTAAAGAGATCTCCAACCTCAAAAAGCAGAAAACAAACTCGCTCTGACGTTCACCAATTCCCACTAGACACCAAATTTACTCCGGCCCCATACGTATCTGATCTCTTATGGCATTCACCACAACTAACAGCTGAACCTCGTACAGAAAGAAATAGATCCAAAACACTTTATAGCTGTCATATTCCATACCTCAGTCTCACCGGGTACTGTCCAAACACAATTTATTATTCTAAAATCACCGATAATGATCACCCTCTAACTCAAAACTTCTACTCCACTACAACAGTTTTACAATTTAAAAAGACTAAGGTACATCAAGACCAAACTTTGTACTGCAGTAGTCTGATTTCGTTCTCCTCGAAGAGAGAACACTGAAACAAACGTCATCTGCACAACTAGCACAATTCACTACAGAATAACAACTTTTTCTTTGGGTAATAAAGCACAAATCAAAAAGGTACCTTCCAAGATAACGCCTACTCTAACAGACATAAAAATGTCAATTACATTCTACCTACTCAAGTCTATACATCCACATATGCACAAAATATTTTGATACGCTTTAGAAATATCAAGTTCATCTAAAAAAGAAAATAAGGGGAAATCAAGAACTAGCACAGTTGCAAAGAAAAATGACAATTAGCAAATCTGTTATCATAAAACATCTAGAAAGTACCTAACATAAATCTTTCAACCTCGAACAGCTCTGCTCTAAAAGAACCATAAATGAAAAAGCAAGAGGAGAACGAGATAACATGACGAACGTACAAAAAAAAAACAAATTCACAGTTTAAAAATTGTATACACGCCACTGCAACTAAAAAGTCCCATCAGTACTATTTACATCGCAAGAGTCCAGCAACAAAACGGCCAAGATAAATGAATCACAGACAGGGATGGAAAGAACTTCGGAAGCAAAGACCAAGAATCTTTGAAAGAATATCATTGAATATGAAACATATAATACATGATACGAAAAAAATCCGGTGACTTGACCCATAATTGCAATACTTGTTCAGAATAACGAAACAGCAAGTTCTACGAACAATGGAACTCAAACCAATACAAAACCACTAAGCAGAAGTTCAAAATAAACTTAAGTAAATACAACGTAAGTTACACTTATGCTACAGAATCCTTATAAGCAGTAAAAGGACAAACTGTTATAAATAAAATTATATTCATGCAAATCAGGCGTGCCAAACCTCTTCAAATAAATTATGCTTCGACAATCTCAATACAAAAAACAAAAAAAAAAAAAGAAAACGGCATAAAAATTTCAAACTTGTCGAAAACAATATAAAAGTAGCAGCACGTGAGCAGTATTGCATACCCATATAAGAAAACAGCTCTGGAAAAGGAATAAAAATGTAGCGGTTTTAAACCGCAACTGGAAATAAAAACAGTTATGCAGATGATAAACTGAAAATAGTACCCGCAAAGAAATAGAGGTAATTCGACTGATGCATTACAGTTTTAGAACAAAAGAAAAAGCTGCAGTCAGTCAAAAAACTATCACAAACAAGCTACAGTAGATAGAGTCCTGAAAGAACTCTTATTTCTCTTTATCTGCTGAGCATATGAAACTGTGACAGAAAAGAATTAGGGTACGCTCCTTTTAAGCGTACGATTCAAAAGAAACAGATGATAACTACCGTCTCAAAAATAATAAGATTGAATATGAAAAAAAAAAAAGAAAAAAATACTTAATTACGAATTTTGTTTCAATGACTTCTTCTTGTGTTTTTTCCGTCGACGTTTAACCACAAGCTGCCAATACTGGTTCACTGCGGTTGCTGCATAAGACTCCAATTGCGACCGCTTTTTCTGAGGCTGAATCGTCAAAGGCTTTTTAACTACCAATCCATCCAACTCTTCTCTATTCCTCATTTTATAGAAATCGTCACTCAAGCTCTCTATAGATGGCGTGAAACCTGCATCCCACGAGACCCCATTCTTCTCGGCAACCTCCTCCCACTTCTCTTCAGACTTTGGTTTCGATTGTTCTGAACAAGCAACACTGCTGGTTTGTTCGGGATCACTAAGATCATCTGAAGTGTGTTGAAATCCAGATAAAATTGAAGACGCCGTGGAGCCTACATCACCTATAAGATGTCTCCTAAGTTCTAAAAAGCGATGGCGCAACCTTCAACTTTTTTGTAAGCGTAAAACTTGCCTGCATTACTTTCTGATAATAAATTCTGTAGTTCCTCTTTTCTCCGCTTTAAATTCTTCTTTGCATGAATTATTTTCTGGCTCTCACCTAAAACTCCGAACTTTGAAACAAATACACCGATTTCCAACAATGCCTAATGCGTTTCAAAAACCTTCTGTGGAGAATCCACGAAACCATAAGTAGCACCCCCTTAATGAAGAAAAGCTAAAATAATGTAGTAAAAATACCACTCAAACTGTTGCTTTCAACGGCTGTTTTGGATATACGCTCGTCAATAACCTTTCGTAAGTCCTGGATTTCAGCGAAACGTCTTTTATTATAACAATGTTGAACCACCAGCATCATAAAAACTGTGCAAGCTTGTGCCAAAACTACCATGAAGATTAACTGTTCCGTCTGTAAAAAAATCAGGAAATGTTTGAAAAATAAATTTTCCATTAACGCTTCAGTGCTGGCCGCTGAAAACAAAATTAAAGAAAAGGAGGAAAAAGAGAATCATAAGCACACCGTCCACAAATGATCGTTTGAATACAACAGGTGCTGCTGAGGAGCCGGTAGCACTCGAGTGGGTTTTTTGAACTGAAATGGTTGAGTTTCATAATCCAAAGGAAAGTGTTCATCCTTGAGAACTGTGCTTTTTTCCAAAGCAGGTCTTAAGAAAACACTTTCCGCTAACGTCTGCACCAGCTTTTCGACCTCTTTCAAGTCTTTAGATAACTTTTCAACCTAAACAGTTAAAAGTTGTCTATAAAATATACTCTTCTGTGTAAAAGATTTTTTTCATTAGAAGAAAACCATTATTTTACCTTAATGGCCATTTCTGATTTAACTCCTTGCACAGCTTTCAGTGCAACCGTCTCAGCCATTTTGACGATCCTCTCAATCTGTTTCTCGCTATCATTCACCTTTTCTACGTATCTTCGACTCAACTCCGAAAGATATTCACTGCTGAGAGACATATTTAATTCAAGTGCGCTGATTCGTTTGTTCAACTTCAGAAACACTGATTCTTTGTGACTCATTGTACCTCCAGGTAAAGGTTGAGAAACTGCAAGAGATTCCAAAAATAAAAGTAGTCGTGGAAAGTAATGGAGAAAAGATATAATAAAAGATGCAATTTCTAAACCGTAAAAAAAGGTGCCTAGTTGACCGACTTACTTTTCGGCTTCGCAACGGGAACAACATTTGCAAATTTTGACGTGAAGTTCGGGTTTTCAGCTACACCATCACTACTTAGAGAGGTCACATTCTTCATATCAAACACAGTCGGTGGTTCTAGATGGCACATGTGATCAGTTACTCTAGACAAGAAAATCCTCTGAGATTGCAACGACCCAAGCCGACGCGTAGTACCAATCCTCTTCACCTTAAATCACTAATGTAACAACACAGTTTGGTCATTCGAAGATAAGAATTTAAGAATAAAACATACTCTTACTTTTGTAGGAACTGAATTGTGAGGAGCAACAGTTGCGGTGTCACAAAAATCCAACTTCCTCCGCTGTTTTTTATACGGCTTGTAAGTGACACCGAAGAAAGCATGACAGAAAAAAGGATCAGGAGCATAGAAACCGGGGGCGCGACACGTTCTGCACATCCATTCCAAAGGATCATTCCAGCTAATAAAATATACAACAAAACTCAATGACTGTTTTTGCTCGCTAGCAAAATATGTTAGAACTGAAATTTTTAAAAAGCACAAAAAAGATAAGATAACAAAGATAACATGTGTATAAAATCAAAACCTTTACAAAGTCAAAAAGTACCATTTTGAACAACCAGATTTCTTCTTCCAAGTACGCAGAAAAGCTGATTCTAAAACTTGTTTCAGATTTGCAATCCCTATATTTCCCATAACTCCAACAACGGTGTCAACGAGATGCCGATCCTTTTGCTTCGCCGCAGCCGACTAGAAAAACATTTAACAAACTTTGAAAGTTAGCTTAGAAAAGAAACAACTATCAGAAATGCGGATTTTATTCTTTGAAAATGTAAATAATTGATTTCAACATACGAAAATATTATTCAGAAACTTCATCACGATACTACTAAAATCAATTCATATATTTAAAAACCTCAGTATCGGTGGAAGGAAGTTGCTCACTTCCAGCGGAACTCTCCTGAGGAATTACCGTGTCTGCAGCTGGCAAAGGAGTTTTTATCTCTTCATCGATAATTTCTTTTTTCACCTTCAAAAGTTCCTTTTTTCACAGAAAACCTAGAACCAACGTATGATAAAAAGTAAAAAATGAATAAAAATAAATACTTGTGGAGATGTATCAAGTGGTAAAGGTGGAGTAACGACGGTTTCCGCATGTTCAGAACTTGGGCCAACTGCAGCCTCAGCTTCTGCTTCATATTCGTCGACTATAGAAACGCCAAACAACCGGACTAAGCTTAAAGTGCAGTAGTGCTCCCGACCATAATGGCTCAGCAACTCTAGCTAGAAGTGTTTAGAATTATTGACCAAAGATTTCGCTGAAAAAAAAGAAAAGTTTGAACAATAATAGCCGCACAAGAAGTAAATTACCCGAATAAACTTAACGTAAACGCGACTCGTTACTATAGGAAAACCTTGAACTTTTCTTGTATCTTCAGCAACAAACTCGCCTAAGGTTACCCATTCATTTGATGGATAACGCTCACTTCCTAATACACGAATCTCACGAGGGCCAGAGGAGAACAACTCAAAATTGGCAAGCTCCAACCTACTGGGCTAAAATATTATCCGATCTAGGGAATTGGAACCGAAAATATAAAAAAAATAATTGAGTCAGAAGTTAACGATAATAAACTACATTGATTAAAACGTATATCAATTACAGCCATAAAAGAACCTGAACAGTTTCACATAATTCGAAAATAATCCATTTATGTTGAGCTCGTTCACAAGGATTGCGCATATAATCATCTGCTTCTTTTTCATTCAGAACTGCATTCTGAAAACATACTGTGGAGTTTTTGCAGTAGAAAATGCAACTTTTAGTGAAGTTTTTGTGGATATCCTGTGTCAATTTATTCAACTGTCAATTAAACCCCACTGAAATTTGATCATGCCCTCAAATTAACCGGTAGTTAAGTTATAATGAATGTATCAATGCAACTGAAATGATAACTGTAATAGATTTCAAAAAATCTCATAAAACTTTTACAATACCATGTATGCGACAAAAACTATAAATTCTCATCAAAAATACAAATAATGGGGAAAATTAGGTTGATAAAAAAATAAAAATTTCGTCATATACCCAAACAGCATCTGAGAGTACTTAAAACTCTACATGATACACTAATCAAGATAAATCAATAAAATGCTGCAGAAGAAGTTTAATAGGTCTACTAATTTTCTTACACAACTAAACGTTACACCTACAGGAAATTTTAGAACTAGTGAATAAAAACAAACGCGATTTTCAGCTTCTTCATTACTAAACAACACTTTGGCACCACAGTCTTTTGCAGCATAATTTCGAAGAGCAGAACCATGGCCAATAACCAAAGGTGCTGGATCCTTCTGTGACTTTATATCCCCATTATTTTCAATTTTCGGAGAAGATGGGACACTATTCTGAACTTGCGCATTCATTGGGACATTAGTCTCTCCAGATCGAAGCTGAGAAAAAAGGAAGCAATCAATAACAAGATGTTACAATATTGATTCTTCCGGATTACTACGTGAAAGATTACAAGAACCACGTGAAATAATCCTCGTCTTCGAAATTTAATGCCCAGGTCTAAGCTTGTTTTCTTCGCTATTCCGAGTATTGCTCAAGCCCTTAACTGTGTGAAGAATAAAGACATCAAAGTCTTCCAAAAAAGGTGATTTTTTTGTTGTTATGTTGTTTCTACTTTCCTGCGTAGTAAAGATTCATACTTTCTTACTACTGCATACTTAAATAAATAGGTAAGTGAACATCGAAAAATCTCGTGCCAAATTAGCAGTTACCTGATTATTTTTCTTCAACTCTTCCAATTTTAACTTTTCCTTGGTCCATTCATCAAAGGTTACTATAGGTGGACGTTCCGGCAATTGAGGTCCCAATGAATCACTATCTAAAGACTGCTTCGAGGGATGTTTTTTAACAGGCTCCTTCACCAAGCTTTTGTCGTCAATCGATACTCTAAAGCAAATCAACTAAACAGAAGAAACTGTAAAAATAAAGCTCGAAAGATTAGCTGAAATCGGCTAATAAGGTAACAGTGCATCCCTTGCGGTCCAAAAAAGTTGACGTTAAAGTGTAAGTCACAAATCCCAGTACTGCAGAAAAGGTTTATAAAAACAGTTTATTTTTCTAGGGCACTTTTTAAAATATACTCAACTGTTTGTGCAAAAGTCTTAAGAGCCAAAAATAGTACAGCTAATTTGAAAAGTGTATGAAAACACACAGCAGCGAGTCCTCCGTCTTCAATTTGGAATCCCCAGTTATGTCAGAATAATTTTCGTTCTTTTCTTTATTCTTCAGATGTAAAGGACAGCTATCAATATTTAGCAGCTCGTCTGAAAGTTGATCTCCAGTGAAAGGAAAAGAAGCTGGGCAAGTTGAGTGACGAATCGACTGCTTTTGGTAAAGAAGGCTAAAAAAAAGTTTAACAGATGAGTGGAAGCAAGAAAAGAATCTTTCCTGTCATCAGACATTCAAACAAACATAAAGGTTATAAAAAAACGGTGCAAAGTACAGGGGTACGTAACCAAACTAATCCTACTAAGCCAAGTACGACTTCAAAAATTCTTTTACAAAACAACACACACTTCTTTTAACCATAACGAATAAAATATGAACAACATTACTTATAAAACGGCGAAACGTTAGGAGTAGAGACCAAAACGTTTGGCAGACTGGAAATCAGGAAGGTACTCTTCTGAACGTTGAGCAAATAAATGCCCACAATCACCCTGAATAACGAACGACGTAAATACAGGATTAAAAAATATATTTATAACTTTCAAAGTTCGATTTGAAAACACTCTCTTCCAGGCGCTTTGCGGTTAAAAACCCTCATTCCCAATCATCCTTTTTTTTGTTTACCAACCTTATTTTTTTTTTTTATTTTTTGTATACGTGGTTCCCGACCAGGCCTAATTCACCTGTGAAAGTTTCAGAGTTGTCCATTTAGTTCTTACTAACTTTCTAAAGACCTAATGCTGAAATGTCGCTGTGATCTTTCTACCATTCCATAATAGCTCTTTCGCGTCATCGGGCGCTATAACGGCTAGCATGTATATCCTATAACCACGATTTTAGGAATCTAAAGACGGTTCAGATCTATCCCTTGTGCAATTCTTATGCTCATAATTCCCACATTTCTTGACCATTTTCTGGTCTACCCAAAAATCCTTACTCAGTCGCAATATTATGTTGTGCACATAGAACTAAACAGATGGGATTAAGTAACCTTAATTTCCAGAAATGTCTAAGTTTGCTTCCACTACTTTATAAACCCCTCTAGCTGTCTCATCATCTAAAAAAGTCGGAACGTAGGAAAAATAATTTTTAGAAATTTTACGGAGCGATTATAGATTCTGAAAGACAAATTACAGTCAAAACATGAGAATATGAAATAGAAAGTAGTTAAAACAAAGGTAATGAACAAAGCGTAGCTGTTAGAATCCTATAACTGAGATTTTTGAGCATTATCTCAGTCATATCATGAAGCAGTTAGAGAGGTTTACAAAATGGCAAAAGCAGACTTTTCCTAAATCAGAATTCATTCGACGGACTTGTCAAGTTCTATATGCACAACTAATAAGCTAAGATCAAAAAGGTATTTTCGAACAGACCAGAAAATGGTCAAGAAATGTGAAATCAGAAGTGTTGTATGGAGGTGAATTTGAACCCTTTCCAGATTCCTTCCCTAGCTGTTACAAGACGCATGCGCTAACCATTACACTACTTGACGGCAAGAAAGTACTTTTATGAAGTGGCAAGTAGACTACAGAGGCACTTTAGCATTAGACTGTATGGACAAACCTGAAACTTATAAGAGATGAGTTAGGTGTGGTCGCATATCTCGCACACAAAAAGCGAAGTGAGGTAGAAGAATAAAAAAAGCATGTTTAGAATTAAGGACTCCTAACTGCAATGGCGCCTCTTTTAGTATCCACAACAACGAGTTTGCTACCATGAAATTAATATTCAAGTCATAATAATAAGAGTGAGGAAAAAAATAATTTGTAGAGGAAGTAAGAAACACTAACCATACGATCATGTCCAAGTAAAGTTCATACAAACGACCCTTCTCCATATATTAAACTCCAAAGTGCGAAGGACAGCATTAGAAAGACGA